AAAGAAGGGAGAAAGAAGTCTAAAAAAGAGATAGAGAAATGTCATAATGATTAGAAACCATGAGAATAGTTTGAAGAAAGGGAAGGAGAGAACCAGTAAAATTAGAAAACTGAGCTTAAGTCTCTCCATAGATCCAAAGACTTCCTAAAGAACTTGTTAGCATCACAAGGTCAACAATTCTAAAACCAATTCATTGGTTTTACCTATGGTAATAGTTCTTACATAAATGAACTAAGGAATTGCTTCATTATGGAGAGAATAGAAAATATAATGTTTCAAAGAAATATCCAGTACACTGGATATAAAATGATCTCCTTCGAAAGATTTTGTATATCTGGCTATACAGCTTTCAAATACAGGGCATGCCAAACTGCCTGTGGACTATTTCTTTCTTACCTTTCCAGTTTCATTTCTCCTAATTTAGGTTCTCAGCAACAACAAACAGTTTATGGTTCCTGAATAAAATGCATATTTCATAAGATTCCTTCAGTCTTGAATGCCTCCTCAACTCCCTAACCTAATCTTATCTTTCAGGTCTCTGTAGAAGCATTGCCTTCTCCAGGATGCTAACCCCTCCCTGTGTGCTCCTTAAAGATGATGATGAAAATGGGAGCTAACTTTCCAAATATTTCATCTGGGATAGGCTGTGTTCTAACTCAACTAAATGCAGTATGAACTAAACTCCTCTTTACAACAATTCTATGAAGTAGGCACTAAAATTATCCCCATTTTATAGATAAGACACTGAAGCATAAGGATGTTAAGAAACCTACCCAAGGACATATCACTCACTGGTCAGTAGTAAAGCCTGTTATTGCACCCAAGCAGGCTGGTTCTGGAATCTGCACTCTAATCACTAGGACAGTGGTTCTCAACCTTCCTAATACCAAGATGCTTTAATACAGTTCCTCATGTTGTGGTGACCCCCAACCATAAAATTAGTTTTGTTGCTACTTCATAACTGTAATTTTGCTACTGTTATGTCATAGGCAACCCTGGTGAAAGGGTCATTCGACCCCCAAAGGGGTCGTGACCCACAGGTTGAGAACCACTGCACTAGGATCTACTGCCTTTGTGTAATTAAAAAAGAGCCTGATCCTGGGTATTACTGTGTATACAATATTCCTGACTCTCTTGTTCAGCACTTGTTGCTGGAATTGGATATGCATTTCTTTTATAAATATCGCTATAACTGGCATACCTAAAATGTTAAGATTTGTCATTCTTATGATAAGAAATGTATCTTAGCATCTAATGAAAACTTGGCAATTTCAATTTATATGATAATTAATTATATTATAATTATTTCCAAGGTCAAGAATTTTAAACATTTAATCTTAAAACTCTATACCCGGGTGATGCAATCAGAAAATTAAAGTATGTATGAAAATATTTAATTAAAACAAATAAAAATCTACTAATTTAAAAGTTTTACATAAAATATGTAATATTTTCCCACATGATTATTTTTCCTCGACTGTATAAAAAGTACATTTTAAAAGAACATTTTTTAAATGGACATGTGCACATTTTATTTTTCAGTGCTAGTTTCACAGAAGAGTAGGATAAAGTGGTTTGGAATAATAAAATTGTATCGCTTACTAATTTCTGGGAAACTCTTTGAAGCTAATGTAAGTAATGGGCATTGCTGTAAACCAAAAAGAAAAGAGAAAGAATTGACTCAAACTCAATCCAGTCTTTCAATAATTTAAAGCCTAGTAGAGAAAAAAATTAAAACCAGTACAGGTGTGAGAATTGTTTTTTAAATTTTAATAGGTATGACTTCAAGAAAGCAAATCTATAGTAAAAAGAAGATCCCTGCCTTACCTGAAGTTATAATACCAGCATCCAATGTAATGTCACAGCCAGTAAATTACCTTTTTCTCAGAGCACTTTTATAAGGAAAAATATCAGTGGTTAGTAGCATACTGTGGAGTCAGAATTGTCTGGGTTTAAATCTCAATTCTATCATGCACTAATTAACTTTGCTGGTTTCACTTAACCTCTCTGTGCCTCAGTTTCCTCACTTATAATTAGATAATTACATAATGTTCATAGCATTATTGTTCTGTTGGGAAGACTAAATGAGTTCATACCAGCGAACTGGGTAGAACAATACCTGGTAACATAGAATGATTCTAAGTAACTACATAAACGAAGACAACTTAAAAAGAGAATCTGATAGAGCACATGTGTATGTGTAATCAAGTCTTAGATAACCCAGTTAAAGACATATCAAAACATGTCACCAACCCACTGTCTCAATTATGTGGCTGGGTCAATTCTTAGCTTTGTATAAGCCACAGGCCCATACCTTAGAAGTATTTTCCAAACTTGATCAGCAAAAAAGTACTTTGTACTCTTAATAAAACACTATGAAATGATTAAATACCTAATTCCATCATCTGAACCACAAAATACCCCTCTCTGCTTGTCAATATTATTTATGTCAAATTAAAAATTGTAACCACAAGCACCACTTATTCAGAAAAAACACACATTGTCAAACTGGGCATGGTTAACTGCTTTTGAGGTTTTTAGTGAATATTACTTAACTACTCATTTGCCCATTTTACTGTAAGAACAGACATAGATGCTGAAGACTAAAGAAAAATGTAAAACAAAAAAGAAAAATATAGAACTGAGAAAATTCTAGCTATTAAATATCCCCATTGCTATTGTTTACTGTTGACAGTATTACAGATGTCCTCCATTTGACCCCCTCCACCCAGCCCCCACCCCATCCCAGGCCTTCACCACATTACTGTCTTTGTCCATGGGTTATGCATATATGTGTATTTTTCCTTTGGTTAATCCCTTCTTGTCCCTCCCCAAACCCCTCCCCTCTGAGATCTATCCATCTGTTCCATGTATCCATGCCTCTGGACCTATATTGAGCCTGTTTAAGACTTGCTATTCTGAAACATATCCTTCTGAAATCCAGATGCTATGTCTGTTCATCAAAACCCTTTCTGCCATACTCAGCCAGTGTGGCTCAGTGGTTGGGTGTCAATCCATGTGCCGGGGGGGAGGGGAACACCAGTTCAATTCCCTGTGGCTATGGGCCCAGTCCCCAGTGGGGGGCATGCAGAAGTGTTTCTCATCGGTGTTTCTATCTCCCTCTCCCTCTCCCTTCCTCTCTCTCAAAAATCATTAAAGAAAAAAAAATTACAAAAAAAGAAACCTTTCTGCCACTGCCCTATTCTATTCCACAGGTATTATCAGAGTTCTTCTCAACCAAGCTTTCCACACAATCTGTGCAACAAGAGACCTGTCTGTAGAGTGAAGCTGCTTTGCTGTAAAGAGAGCATCACAGAATCCTGGAACTAAAACTTATTTTGAAGATTTGTAATCAACACCATTCACACCATTTTATAAGAAAAAGCAGCCCCAAGAAAAAGAAAACCCAAGCCCCCAGCTAGCTGATAGCAGAGCTGAGAATGTTTTCCTTTTAATTTGCCATCTACCAGTTCTATGCTTGTTTACTTTTTGTTTTTGTTTCTTTCATTTAACTACAGTGCTTTGCCAAGAAAATAAACTTAACTTTAAAACTGAAAATCAAAAGAAGTAACAAAATTTTAAGTCACAATCTTAAATAGCAGCAAAAAAGCATGAAAATGTAACTTTGAGTAAACACAAATTAGGACAATGGAGTTTTCATCTAGATTCAAGCAATCAAATAAAATAAACCTAAAACTGGGTAAATTCTACAGTCTAACAGCAAAGTTATGGATAGGACATTATATTTAGTCATCTTCATTTATGCTTCCTACTTCTCATGCCTCCAAAATCCAGTCTGAGACAGAATTTGTGATAATATCAGGATTACAAAGGACTTCCCCTTATCCATATCTTGGGAATACAAAAACAAACAAACTGCGTGTGTGTGTGTATGTATCAGATAAAATATTTGAGTCTTTTGATGTTCAAGAACTACTAACAGGGGGAAAAAGAAAGAATGGAGTAACATAGATATGCTAGGAGAAATTTGGAATCTTAAATATGGGGGGAGACTATTCCTTTTTAAATATAATATAGCAAGCCATTTTTATTTTTTAAAAAACTCTATAAGCTATATGCCCTGGCCAGTTTGGCTCCGCGGTTAGAGCATTGGCCTGCAGTCTGGAGAGACCCGGGTTCGGTTCCTGCTAAGGGCATGTACCTCTGTTGCAGTTTGTCCCTGGCCCTGGTTGTATCATGTGGGTGGCAACCACTCGATGTGTCCCTTTCACGTCGATGTTTCTCTCTCTGTCTCTTCCTCTCTATCCGTCCCATTCTATCTGAACAAAAAATGCAAAAATGTCCTCGGGTGAAGATAAAAAATAAATAAAAAACTCTGTAAGTTATAAACCCATTGTCATCACATAGGTTTGTGTTATAATAAAGAAAAGGTTTCTCAGGTTCATAGTATTTAACCTGATTTGAATCTGGCCAAAAGCAGGATGAGGCAGAGTTGAAGGCAGTATAACTAGTTCCTGAGAGAAATGGAAGGCCAGACCACAGTGAGCTTGGAATGGAGTGAGGGGGTTAGAACATGCAAGTCAGTCAAGCAACAGAGATCACCTGGCCCAGTCTCTGGCAAGGAGATAAAAATCACTAAATCTTTTTCTGGTTTTGTTTTGCATATTTAAGAACTGATTTGCAAGCAGGTGATTTTATCTCTGAACCAAATAACTGAACCAGGAACAGAACAAATAATCACATACATTCATGTGCCACCACAATGTTTTATTTACATTTTTAAATGTGGTGTTGAAAGATTAGTATAGTAGTTATATTTAAAGCAATGACCAACACACTCTAGAAAAAAATACTCTAAAAGCAGGATGTCAGTTGCCAATGCTTCCTTTCATAGCCTATGTTCTCCTTTGGGGATTGAAGCTGTGTATTACCAAAATTCCCATTTGTCTGACTTCATTTATGTTTGATTGATCCAATAATTATTATTGAAAATGATTTTATACATGGTCAAACAATATACGTATGTATCTCGAACTTACCTTCAGGTGAGGAGCCTGGCTTTTGGGAAAAGACAGCATTTATTTTACTCTTCTTATTGATATCACTATTTACAGACAAACTGGACTGAATTTTTATATGCATTTTTTGAGAAACAGGTGCTGAAAGTCTTCGATTATCTGCAGATACATGTTTGGCCCCATGGTGAATTCCATTTCCATTGCTCAGATTTTTGTAGCAGTTCTTTATCTTGCCTATTTCATCGTCACTGTCACATGGTTCCTGTGCCGAAGTTTGAAGCTGAGGTAAGCGCTGAGGTTGGGCTAAGGTTAAAAAGCAGGAAAATTTTATCAAGTTAAAAATAAATTTAATATTTTAAATAATAAAAAATACATTCGGTAACAACATTTTTGGATTTTACCCAAACGAAAAATGAAAGAGAAAAGAAAGTAAAATACTAATAAATATGAACATAATAATGATAAACAAAATATATAACATAAATAATATTGCATAAACATAGAGAAAATACCCTTACTAAAAGGGAAAATGAGAAAGGGGGACAACGAAGCTGACTTTACAAAAGGAATATAAAAAGAGAAGAGAAAAAGTGTTTTTTAAGAAAATTGAAGTTAGAAATCTGAAAAAGTAATTCAATATTCATTCAACAGAAAAAGTGAACTGCTTTCTATGTACTAGGTCTTCTTTTGGGTATCAGAGACACAGAAGTATTATCTCCCTATCCCTGATAATGGTTAACTATTCAATGATCTTTTGAAATAAAAGGAAAAGAACAATGACTTCTGTATCAAAGCTGGACATTATAGAGAAATATTGTGGGATGCAGTGTGTGCTTTCCACTTCCTAGCAGACCAGTGGGCCAACAGTGCAGCAGTGAAGTTTTCATTAGAGAAGTCCCATTGAATGTACAGGGGTGGTCCTTAGCTGTGTAACTCTTGGGAGAGTCTCTGTGTTGCTAATAGACTTGTTTTCTATTTAGATCAGCCAAAATGGATTCTGGTTTTGCAGCTAAGAGCTCTGATCTCCTCAGAAAACATTATCTGTTTATAGTGGTTAAATAATGAGATTATTAAAATCAACATTTACCTTGATTGTGTATCTCCTAAGCAATGCTATCAATGAAAGCATTTCAACTAAAAATAACAGCAACAACAAAAAACATTCATTGTCAAAATTTACTTTTATAATTTCCGAATCTAAAACTGCTGTTGTAATTAGTCATCTTTTCAATTTATGATTATGAGCAGTTATAAAATGTAAATTAAATCTGAGTACTAAGAAATCTTTGACTTAAAAAACATTGTATGCAAAGCTATAAGTTATACTTGGCATTGATCATGTCTAAAAGGGACTGATTATATGTGATCTAGGGACTAGATAAAACTTGGTAATATATTTTTGACAAAGAAACAGTTTGCATTTGAGTATATCTTTAGCACACATCATTTACTTCTGATCTTGTTCACATATCCTGTCTTTTTAAGATAAACATCTTAATATATCAAAATATTCTGCTCATGAATGTATAAATTTCAAAAAAAGACAAGTTGACTTTTTTACTTAAAAGCATCCCTTCATACCAAGTCTATTAACATTAATACCTGATTTATAAAACTACTATATGCCCCTGGCCGGTTTGGCTCATAGGTTAAGAGCGTCAGCCCGCAGACCGAAGGGTCATGGGTTCAATTCCCAGTCAAGAGCACTACCTCAGTTGCAGGTTCCATCCCCAGCTGGGTCAAGGTCATGCAGGAGGCAACCAACTGATGTGTCTCTCTCATACTGATGTTTTTCTCTCTCTCTCTCTCGCTCCCTCCCTCTCTATGTTAAAATCAATGGAAAAAATATACTCGGGAAAGGATTAACAAAACAATAATAATAAAAATTTAAAAATGAATAAAACTAATACATAAATACCTGTGACAGTTTTTCAGTTCTTTAGTAAACAACAGAGGAATAATTGTCAAAAATTAAATATTTGTGAATATCACAAAGTAATAGTTGTAAAATATATCAAAGTATTTTGTTTTTCTACTAACTTCTGAGGGGAAAAAAGGTTACTTCTCTGTTTAAATGCCATATACACCTTTCTTATAACTACAATTGGCCATCAAGGTATCTGCAAAAGGAAATCTATTTCTTATGGATGAATAACCATTTGATCTAGAGATTAATTTACTGCACCTGTAACTTTTTGTATCAACGAGAATGACATCCTAATGACTGCTACTGAACATAAAGCTAGTTACACATTATTTATTTAAAGAGATGCCAAAGAAGACAATTAAAGAGAGTTAAACCTAATCTGGTGTTCTTTTCAGAGCACTTTCTAGTTATCTCACCAATAAGTGGTATGTACTAGACCACTTTTTCTCTGGAAAGAATAATTCAAGCACTCTGAGAGCTCAGTTAAATTGAAATGCTGGAGAGACTTCTTATCAATCAAAAATGTCCTGTCATATTACATAATCCAAGATAAATTTAAAATCACTATGTAATAGTTAAATATTCTCAATAAATAAAAATAAAAGTGGTAAAAGACAACTATGTCTTGCCACCAAATTCTAAAACTGACAGATCTGATCTACGATCAAAATTGGCCATATGCAAATAACTGGGTATGGCTGGAGTGATATTCAAACACATCCTTAATGATTTAATTACATGTCAGTCTTCAAAATTATATCTATTGCTATTGGTAGATAAACTACAGTACATTAATTTTTGTTTCACTGTCACCTAATTATTTTTACTATAATTTTTTGTATTATGGTCAAGTTAACCAAGTAGTATCTCTTCATTCAAATTTTATTTTTAACATTAAAACTTTCTTAGTTCCATGATTTTGACACATGCATGCAGTATATAAGTCAAATCAAAACTAATTAAAGCCTAAATATATTAGTTATCTCAACAGACATTTATTTTTAACTTCATTGATAATTTTCCAGGTGTGTGACTTGAATCTTACAGTAAAATTACAACTAAAAGTTGAAAACATGATTTTATTCTTGAATAACGGATAAAAACACCTGACTGACTAAACCATAACTACTTGGCTTTAAACAAATTTATTTTTCTTATTGTGTATAGCTTTAAAAAAAATAAATGCTTACATGGGAACGACAACACAATGCTTCTTAAAACAAGTGATGCCTAGGGACACTCGCTCTCTCTTTAACAATTTCCTGCTCTCATTCAGCTGTCTTTCTTTTTTCAAATCTTTACATATGTGACAGCTCTCAAAAGTAGACCATAGACCATCTGGCATTTTCAGAGGTGTAACTTGTGAAAATTCAGCTCTATTGGGAGTGCACTGCTATCTTCTGCCTGTGTTATAAAGGGACAATAGAATGTAGAACTTGAGAGTTGTTTTGAATTATTCATTTTTAGCCTGTATATTCAAGAAATTTTACAAACTCTGCATTTTGTACTACATAATCACACGTGTTAAAGGTACAAGGAAACTTTTTGACACCTTTTTTTTTTTCTACAGAAAGCTGGCATTTTATTTGATATGTGAACATTCAGGCATCTGTTATATCATTCTAAACAGGCTGGGTGCTTCTACAAAAGACCCCATTTTAACTTACTTTATATGAGCAAAAACAAAAAATGTGTTCTTGATATTCAGTAACAAATGAAATACACATCAAAATTTTAAATACCAGTTATATGAGTATTCAGCATCTTCAAACCTTGATAGCAATGATCATCAGGCTTATCATATGTGTAAAGAATTTTTTAAAAGTCATTGCTCATACAATGCAGCATAGTTGTAATTTTAATATACATAATGTCTTAAGAAATACTGTGCTTTCTAGATTTAAATATTTTCAATCAGGAAGGAAACCAATATAGTTAGCACTACTGATTTTCAATAATAATAATGAATATGGGAGTGATGAGTCAACAGCATGAACTTCTTTTGATAATTTATTTTTAATGTTTGCTAATGTACCTTTGTAATAATTATAGTTGAAACTGTCTATTGGGAAAACAACAAAAGCAACATTTTCCTATAGCATATGATCTATTACCATGTGGCAAATCATCTTCAGTTGTTGGTCTCTTTGTTTAAGTCAGATTTAATAAAGTTACAAAATAATCTGTACAATATTTATTGCAAAAAGTCGTTGTACACAAATAAAAACTAAAAATTAAATGCTTAGAATTTAAAATAGTAACAAAATTATCTAAATAGAACATTGGTGTGTGTGTGTGGGGGGGACTTATTACAAACTGAAATTCCTTTCCCAAGGATAATTAAAAACTTTTACTGGGTGCCCAGTAACTCTGCTACTCTACTCACTATGACACACACACACACACACACACACACACACACACACACACACAAAATGGTAAAGATTTTATTTATATACACACATATATAAAGCAAAATGGTGTTTTATTATTTAAATATATATAATATGCATGTATGTACAATAACAACTTTAATCACTTCTATATATACAAATATTAAAAAAAAGTAAAATATTTTATTTACTGTTGTAATGTAAATGTAGGTTAAAATCAATAAAAATAAATGTGCTAATGGACAACTCTGTTAACCAACTTGATGCAAACCATTCTCAGTGGGCAGACTCTGAATGGACCCAACATCCTAACACTTACACAGTCTGGAAATTCCTGCCATGTTCTAACTCTATGTCCTCAGTTCTACTCCAAGAGCTATCAGAATTTTTTTGTTTTATTTACCTCTTGAACTTCTGACCTCTTTAATCATACATTACATTTTCCATCTTTTTTTAAAAATTTTTATTTATTTATTTTTTGTTACAGATGTTTCTCCTTTTTCCCCGATTGACACCCTCCTTCCCTTCCCTTCCCTCCCCACCGTGTCCCTAGCTTTGTTGTCCATGTCCATTGGTTATGTGTACATGTATATAAGGTCTGTAGTTTATATCTTCCCCAAAAAACCCCTCTTCTGGGAATTGTCAGTCTGTACCCTACCTCCACATGTCTGGGACTAACCTGTTCTTCAGACTGTTATGTTCGTCATATTCCACGAATAACTGGCATTATATAATACTTGACTTTCTCTGCTTGGCTTGTTGCGCTTAGGATAATACTTTCCAGGTCCCTCCAGGTCGTCTCAAAGACTTCTTTCTTACAGCTGCATACTAGTCCATTGTGTATATGTACCACAGCTTTCTTATCCATTCGTCTACTGATGGGCATTTGGGCTATTTCCAGATGTTAGCTATAGTAAATAGTGCTGCTACAAACATGGGGGTACATATATTCTTTCTAATTGGTGCTTCAGGTTTCCTAGGGT